TGACACAAATTGATTGGCTACGGTTCGCAAAACGAGCTCGATGTTGGAACAGATCAAACTCGTTAACCGACGTTCCACTGTAATTCGAATAACTAAAGAAGGTTAAAATGCAGTATATAATCGGCGAAATAGGCCAGCCGAAGTACCTGTAAGGAAATTCGCATTTGAATAGAAAGCAGAAAAATGCCGGCTCAATATCAAAAGCCCTTAAAGGTTAGTGCTTGGTTGCATGCAGTGCCCTTAAGTTTCTTTGGTTTTCTGGTCATCCGTTTCACCACCCTTGTAGACTCAAACCGCGTGTTGAAACGAAATCAACTTCGACCTACTGTCTAAAATGTCTGAGCTGCTAAATTATGTCCTAGACTGCATTCACTCAAACCCTGCCGCTTAAGCTGTTCTCTCCCTGTCTTCCAGGAGTTTTCTGAGGCCAGACGCCGTTTTGATGGAGCGCCACAAGTTCTCTACTGCCACAAGGACCCACCCCGGGAGCTGGCCGGAACCGATGCTCTTTCCGGTGAAAATATTGCCTACATCACCTTTGGTAAGTGCCTGACGACTATACTTACTTTTATAAACCACCAACTTTTTCTAACAAAAAAAGACAGAACGACTTCCGAAGGCGGCTGAGTGGCCTTCTGCAGACAGATAAAAGTATGATTCCGGTGATCGCAACGCCTTCTACTTCTCTATTGAGGACAGATAAGTTCCGTTAGCGGTCGGTGAACGTTCATCAACGAGTGTCAAAGTCCAGTCTCTCGGAGTGCTCTCAAGCAGAAATACCACTGGTTTTATACACACAATGAAGATTCTTAAGAGAGAAAAATGCGCCTTATTTTAAAGGTGAAATCCAGAATTTTCAGAAAAAATGGCTCCGTTCACTCTGAGACTAAGGAATAAGTTAACAAAATAGTCAAAAACCTAGAGATTTACATAAAGTCCACATCTGTTATGAAGACAGATCTAATGTCACCTTCTAGATGTCCGTTATTCTATACGTAAGGTAGCGTAATAGGAATGGAAGTATAGAGTTCTGATATGCCACTGTACGGCATGACTGTACGGGATGACTTCGCAGCTATTAATGCAGAGTTATGTGAATGAGCAACCTCATCAAGAATGCAATCAGCAAAATGCTGGACCGTTTTAAAGTGTCGCTTTACTATAATATCAGCTGATAAAGCATAAGAGTCGAATCACGGCGTTAATAGATTCATATAGAGCCTTCGCGAGATATATTTACACGTGCTTTCATGTAAAATGCCGAAATTTGCGAAATATTGATAATACCTCGCAAACTGGCATTAAGTAGTGTTGTAATACTGATTACTCTGCGGGCTAACCTCAAGTTACTTCAGTCACGTCAAGATGCCGTCTTTTTAATGAGCCCCCCTTTTGACGGCCTACAAAAAGTATATTCTGTAAAAAGTTGGCTTCTTAAGTAGTATGCAGTTAACTCATTGTTTTTCACAGCTCTTACAAACATTCATAAAATTATTCCTCTTTGTATTTGTTTGTTGGCAAATTACGCCTTCTTCAAATTTTATAGTCACAGAAAGGGTATCTTTTGGTTTAAAAAACAGTTTCTTAATTGCCGGATAATTTTTAAAATTTATCAACCGTTACAGTTGAATTCAAGGCTTCTAAATTGCATGCCGTGCACATTATCTCTAAAGAAAAGAACATTCTTTCCCTAGGTTATGAGGAAAGATCGCATATTTCTCACAAAATTTTGCAAGACATATGGCTCGTGTATTGGCAGATACATTATGGACGGATACGATGTATTATGAAAGAACGCTTCACAGTCGTAAAATATCTCATGATAATAAAAAATTTTTACCTACATATGCCTTTCTTTTAAGTATTAAATTTGAAAAAAGACGTAATTTGTTAGCAGTGGAATACAAGAAAGAGTATTTTCCTGCATTTTTTCTACAACATATATTTGAATTCATAAGGACAGTGAAACTCAATCAGTTAAATACATACTGCTTAAAGAGCCATTTTATTATAGGATATACTCTTAGTAAGCGGTCAAAAGAGAGCTGATTAAAAAGCCGGCATCCTGACCTGACTGAAATTGAGTGAGATTAGGCTGCATGGTAATCAGCATTACGACCCTACTTAATGCCGATTTGCGGGTGACTAGCAATATTTCGCAAATTTAGGCATTTTGCGGGAAATACCAACCGAACTGTATATTTGTAAATGTACTGGGTTATAAGGTAACTCTTAAGGAATATTTGAACAGCTAAAACAATCCATGTTGAAATAAGGATACAGACGAAAAACAAACGCCAAGCTGCGTGTAATGTCGGTAGTTTTTGTGCGGTTTTTGTACTCAATAGCAGTTTTCTGTTTGTTCTCTGCCTTCAGTGCTTTCGCCGCGTCACATTGATGAGAAGCACCGGGCCAAGACGATAGACCTGATCCACACCCTACGCACCTACCTGCACTACCACATCAAGTGCATGAAGGCCTACATGCAGATGCGGATGCGAGCCAAGACCAGCGAATTTCTCAAGGTCCTCAATCGGGCCCACCGGGAGGCCAACAACTCCGTGGTCGTCACTGTCGACCAGAGCGTCGGTTTCGCCACCGGATCCTCCAGCGCAAAGTAAGTGTCTGGGCTGCTGCTACCGCTAAAGGTTCTCTCTCTCCTTCTTCGAGGGTTGGTTGACCTCGGGGCCCGCTTTGTGGCTGGCACGTATGCAACTCTGCCAATTAACTAAACTTCCTAGCTGGTCGCACCAATCCCTGACGCTTACCATACCCCGCCATGAGCCCAATGTGCGTGTTGCGTGTTGCGCGTTCAGTGGCTGTTTCGTGGACTTGAAGCCAGACGATGCTGGCTAATATGGCATTATTCTCATAATCATTAGCATTACAATATTATTAGTATTAATAATAGCATCAGTGCAGTAGTCGCCGGTTATTAAGCCCACGGTTAATAGGCCCAGCTGCTTATTAAGCTCAAGTTGGTCTGGGCCTGAGGTGGGCTTAATTACCGGCGACTACTGTACTATTATTTAGTTTTATTATAAGTATTGCATAATTGTTGTATTGTTTTCTTTTGTTTGTACTATAGTGCATTATGTACTAGTATTACTGTCTGAGATGGCAGCCAGCTGAGGCACTTACCAGATTAACCATTAGCTCAGTGTGTGTTATGGGATAAGTGGACTGGGAGTCAGGCTGTGACGGCTCCTTTTAATTCCCTGGTTGTGTAAATCCTGACGCTTTTGCATCAAGGGGGCCAGGTCGTGCTGTGGCGCGCGCAGACGAGTTCGCCGGCCCTGTCAGCCACCTGCGCCTAATCCTGCACCCGGTCTTCTCGATTTTATCTTGACACCGGGCTC